CTCCCCACTTCCCCCCTCTCCTCCCTCTCTCCCCCTCTCTCCTCCCTCCCCCCCCCTTCCTCTCCCCCTCCCCCACTCTCTCCTCCCTCCCTCTCCTCTCCTCCCCTCCCCCTCTCTCCCCCACTCCCCCCTCCTTCCTCCCCTCTCTCGTATGAATGGCTATTCCTGTTGTCAGAGGAAATTAAGTTGAGCATTTAAGTTTCGGCAAGTTAGGTTAGGTGGAGAGGACACGGCGTTTCTCGAAAGGTTGACGTGTGTATGTGTCGCTAGAGATGTTACTACTGTATAGTTCTCTCTTCGTCTGGTCTGTTCTGTCTGCTTCTGTTTCTGTTTCTGTTTCTGTCTCTGTCTCTGTCTCTCTCTCTGTCTCTGTCTCTGTCTCTGTCTCTGTCTCTCTCGCTCTCTCTCTCTCTCTCTCTCTCTCTCTCTCTCTCTCTCTCTCTCTCTCTCTCTCTCTCTCTCTCTCTCTCTCTCTCTCTCTCTCTCTCTCTCTCTCTCTCTCTCCTCTCTCTCTCTCTCCACCATCATTTATTCATCCATTCATTCAGTCATTCATCACTCACTCACTCACTCACCCTCTCCCTACCTTCCTCCCTCCCTGCCCCCTCATTCCTTACTTCCCTCCTTCCCTTCTTCTTCTTTCTTCCCTCCTTCCTTCCTCCCCTTCCTTCCTTCCTTCCCTTCCTTCCCTCCAACCATTCCAACCATTCTCTCCAATTCCAAATTAGCATAACAAGGTTTCCAAATTCTTTGATTTTCACTCAATTTTTCGTTTCTTTTTTTTCTTTTTTTTTCTTTTTTTATTTTTTTTCACCATATGACCTCTCATTTTTTCCCGTTAGCAGCCAGTGTGAAATAGCATGCGATAATGGCATCTATCTTGTCGCGCAATTGGGTCGTAAATACCGTGTATCGCATTACCTAGGAGGAGGAAATAATGGAGGGTGGCAGGTGGTGGTTGGAGGTGGAGGAGGTGGTAGAGGTGGAGGAGGTGGGTGGAAGGTAGGTGGAGGAGAGGAGGTGGAGGGGAGGAGGAGGGTGGAGTGTGGAGGTGGATGGTGGTGGAGGTGGAGGAGGTTGGTTAGAGGTGGAGGTGGAGCTGAGGAGGTGGTGGAGGAGGTGGTGGAGGAGGGAAGGTGGTGGAGGTGGATGGAGGGTGGAGAGTGGGTGGTGTGGTGTGTGTGCTGATCTGTGTGTGTGTTGTGTGTGATGTTGTGTGTGTGTGTGTGTGTGTGCGTGTGTGCGTGCGTGCGTGCGTGCGTGCGTGCTTGCTGATACAGACAGATAGATTGATAGGTAAAAAAATGATAGACTTATGTACATATATCGTAATAGATCTCTAGTCTACAGATTCTGCATGGCTATTTCAACAACAAAAATCCGCGATCAGCTGTTCCCATAATGAACCTGTCATACCGCAGAGAAGATTGATGAATATGCAAAAACCTCTATTCACATTCAATTTCCATGCTTGCCATCCTGTGCATTGTGATGTTCTAAGCTGGCCGGCCCTTAGTATTTCACACTTTTTTTTCTATTCATTTGTTGGAATAAAAAAAAAAAGTATTGATTCGAGCAGCCATTGTTGCGGCGAAGTGGACGAAGTCAATAGATCATGGAGATGTAAGAGATTTTTCTTTTTTCATTTTTACTTTTTAGGATTGTTATTCTGAATCGCTGATAAGACACTTCGTATAAAAGGAGTCTGTTAAGGTTCTTTCTTTTTTACGTATTGTGTAAGTTGTGGTTTGTGTACTTTTTTTCGAATTTGCAATGTCTGCGATACAACCCGGAAATAATTATAGTAGAGTTTGAACTTTTATCGATGCTTAACTCTGTTATTTTTAAGGGCGGGTTTTTCTTTTACTTCCTCTCATATTCTTTATTTTCAGTTCTTTTACTCATTATTAGCCTGCCTGCCCCCCCCCCCTCTCTCTTCTCTCTCTCTCTCTCTCTCTCTCTCTCTCTCTCTCTCTCTCTCTCTCTCTCTCTCTCTCTCTCTCTCTCTCTCTCTCTCTCTCTCTCTCTCTCTCTCTCTCTCTTCTCTCTCTCTCTCTCTCCCTATCCTCCATCTTTTTTTTTTGTTTTTTTGCAATTACATTTCTCTTAATGTTGGCAAGAAATGCTTTTATGTTTTTGCACGCGAGAAAATGCTTTTAAGCAAAGTTTTGCGCGCTTTTATTATCGAAAGATCTTTCTTCATGGATTTTCTGACCCCTCCCCGCCTCCTCCTCCTCCTCCCCTCTCCTTCTCCTCCATCTCCTTCTTTTCTTATCCTCCTCCACTTCTCCTCCTTCTCCTTTTTCTCCTTCTCGTACTCGTCTTCTTCCTCCTCCGCCTTCTCTTTCTCTTCCTCCTTCCCCTACTTCTCTTCCTCCTCTTCCTCTTTTTTCATCTTCTTATTCTTATTCTCCTCCTCTCCCCTCCTCCTTCTCCTTCTCCTCCTCCTTTTCCTCTTCTTCCTCCTCCTCCTCAACATCACATCCTTCTCCTCCCCCTTCTTTCTCCTTCCTCCTCCTCCCCCTTCTTCTCCTCCTCCTCCTACTCCCCCTTCTTCTCCTCCTCCTCCTCTTCTCCCTCCTCTCTTCCTCCCCTCTCTCCTCCTCCTCCTCCTCCTCCTCCTCCTCCTCCTCCTCCTCTCCCTCCTCTCCTCCTCCTCCTCCTTTTCCCTCTCTCCCTCCTCCTCCTCTTCCTTTCCCTCCTCCTATCTCTCCTCCTCCTCCCTCTCTCCTCCTCCTTATCCATTATCTCCTCCTCCTTATCCATTATCTCCTCCTTCTTCTTTCTCTTTTTTCGTTTCCTTTTCCACTGCTAGAACCGGATTAGACAGATGGATAGGTAAGCGAGTGGATTATTATGCTGTCAGGATATTTATAAGGGTTTACAAGAAAATTTAAGAATACCGCAGTGTAGTTTTTGGTGTCTATGTTATTTATTTATTTTCTTCTTCTTCTTCTTCTTCTTTCTTGTTCTTCTTCTTCTTCTTCTTGTTTCTCGTTTTTTTTCGCTTTTCATTTTTTTTTTTGTACGTTTTATTTTTGGTTTATTTCTGTTGTCTCTTGTGTTCTATCATTCGTATTTATTTTGATGATATTGTTATTGTCATTTATTTCACATTACTTCGTTTTGATAACCGAGAATTCCTCACATCTCTCCTCTTCTGCTTTTCTCTCTGCTCCTTCTCTCCCTCTTCCTCTTGTCTCTCACTTCCCCTCTTTCTTGTTGTTGCTATATTTTTTCTATTTCCTTCCTTCTGTCTTCCTTCCTCACTGTCTTCCTTCCTCACTTCTGTCTCTTCCTCCTCCTCCTCTATCTCCTTTTCTTATCCTTCTCCACTCCTCTTCTTCTTCTTCTTCTTCTTCTTCCTCCTCCTCCTCTTCCTCCTCCTCCTACTTCCTTTTTAACCCACTCGTTTCTTTCCCAGCTTCTTCATTCCCCATATCCCATTTTTATCCGTTTCTCCCCCATCTCTCTTTTATCTATCTGTTTCTCCTCCATCTCTATTTTATCCATCTATTTCTTCCCCATCTCTCTTTTATCCATCTTTTCTCTTCCATCTCCTCTGTCCATCTTTCCCCCATCTCTCATTTATCCGTCTTTCTCCCCATCTCTCTTTTATCCATCTATTTCTTCCCCATCTCTCTTTTATCCATCTGTTTCTCTTCCATCTCTCTTTTATCCATCTTTCTCCCCATCTCTCTTTTATCCATCTTTCTCTCCCATCTCTCTTTTATCCTCTTTCTCCCCATCTCTCATTTATCGTCTTTCTCCCCATCTCTCTTTTATCCATCTATTTCTTCCCCATCTTTCTCCGTCCTCCACAGCCTCTCCCTCGGCCATCGCAGGACTGAGGCTTATCTTTATTGTTTACTAATTATCGTTTACGTGACCTATCTCCTTGCCTTCCTGTCTCTTTGTTTTTCTTCCCTTCCTTCCTTCTTTATCCTATATTTCTCCCTTACCTCTCCCACATTTCTCTCTCTCGTCTCTCCCATATTTCTCCGTCATCTCCCCCATTTCTCTCTTTCGTCTCCTCCATATCCCCCCCCACCATTTCTCTATCTCTCATCTCCCCATTTCTCTTCCTCACCTCTCCATTTCTCTCTCATCTTTTCCACATCTCTCCCTTTCTCTCCCATATCTCTTCCTCTCACCCCCTCCCTCAATTTCCTATCTCTTACCTCCCCCATCTTTCCCTCTCACCCCCCCTCTCACCCTCAATTTCCCCATCTCTCACCTCATCTCCTCCATATCTCTCTCTCGTCTCTCCCACATCTCTCCCTCTCCCCCTCCCCTCAATTTCCCCATATCTCCCCCCATCTCCCTCTCACCCCCCTCAATTTCCCCATCTCTCATCTCCCCCATCTCTCACCACCCCTCACCCCCCGCAAATTTCCCCATCTCTCCATCTCTCCCCCATCTCTCTCCCTCTCTCCCCCCTCCCCTCACCTCCCCCATTTCTCTCACCTCTCCACGCCCTCCCCCCTCTCACCCTCAATTTCCCCATCTCTCACCTCATCTCCTCCATATCTCTCTCCGTCTCTCCCACATCTCTCCCTCTCCCCCCCTCCCCTCAATTTCCCCATATCTCCCCCCATCTCCCCTCTCACCCCCCTCAATTTCCCCATCTCTCATCTCCCCCATCTCTCACCACCCCCAACCCCCCGCAAATTTCCCCATCTTCATCTCTCCCCCATCTCTCTCCCTCTCTCCCCTCTTCCCCCCTCCCCTCACCTCCCCATTTCTCTCCCTCTCACGCCCTCCCCCCTCTCACCCTCAAATTTCCCCATCTCTCACCTCATCTCCTCCATATCTCTCTCTCGTCTCTCCCACATCTCTCCCTCTCCCCTCCCTCAATTTCCCCATATCTCCCCCCCATCTCCCTCTCACCCCCCTCAATTTCCCCATCTCTCATCTCCATCTGTCACCACCCTCCCCCCCGCATTTCCCATCTCTCTCCCTCTCTCCCCCTCTCCCCCTCCCCTCACCCCCCCATTTCTCTCCCTCTCACGACCCTCCCCCCTCCCCCATCAATTTCCCCATCTCTCACCTCATCTCCCCCCATATCTCTCTCTCGTCTCTCCCACATCTCTCCCTCTCCCCCCTCCCCTCAATTTCCCCATATCTCCCCCCATCTCCCTCTCACCCCCTCAATTTCCCATCTCTCACCTCCCCCATTTCTCTCACCCCCCTCACCCCCATCAATCTCCCCCTCTCTCTCCCCCACAGCACAGCCTCTCCATAATACACCGGGACATCAAGGCCGAGAACGTATTCCTGGCGGGTCCTGGAGTCGTCAAGCTGGGCGACTTTGGCTTCTCGACGCGCGTGCACAGCCTGGAACAGCAGCTCAGCACCTTCTGCGGCTCTCCGCCCTACGCCGCGCCGGAACTCTATAAGGTAGGAGGGGGAGGTGGAGGAAGAGGAGGTGGTGGAGGTGGTGAGTGGAGGGGGTGAGGAGGAGGTGGGGATGGAGGTGGTGGGGGTGGGTGGAGGTGGGGAGGGGAGGGAGGTGGTGGGGGAGGAAGAAGAGGAGACGAGGAGAAAGTAGGAATGATAGCGGTGGTAGTAGCACTAGTGGTAGGACCAGAGGTAGGAGAGAGTGAGAGAGAGACAGAGAGAGAGAGAGAGAGAGAGAGAGAGAGAGAGAGAGAGAGAAGAGAGAGAGAGAGAGAGAGAGAGAGAGAGAGAGAGAGAGAGAGAAAGAAGCAGTTAGAGTAGTAGTAGTTTGTAGTAGAACTAGTAGTAATAGTAGCAGTAATAATTGTAGTAGTAGTATTAGTGGTGGTGTGATAATAATTAGTAGCAATAGTAGAAGTAGTAATAGTAGTAGTCATAGTTAGAGTATTGTTATTATAGCAATTGTATTGGTAATAGTGACAAGCAATGGTGCTGACGGTAGCAGTACTGTAAATTGAGGTTGGGTTTTGCAAACAAGGACGTTCTAGAAGTCCAAAAGCCCCCCCCCCCCCCACCACCACCACCCATCCACCCTCCCGTGATAATCTCAGCTGTACGTTGCCTTGTTTTCTGTCTCCCATCCATCTACCCCTCTTCCACATCTATGATTTCTTGGACCCAATCAATCATTCTCTTTTTCTAACTGTCATCTCCATTTTTGCCTTTTCGTCACGTTTGTAGATGTAATTTCCTGTCTCCGAAAGATGATTCCGATATAGACAATTTCATCGTTCTCTTTTTTTCTTTTTTCTCTTTGCATATGTCACGTACGTCATAACTGGGAGGACTTACTGATAGTTGACTTTTGTAGGTAATTCTAGTATTAGTATTGGTATTTATATCAATATTTGCATATGTATAAGTATTCGTATTAGTACTATTATGGCACACTATTATGAAAAAGTTTCGTGGACTCCCGGTTTCGCAAAATGTTTTTCCATCTCATAGAACGTCTTCTTAGATCGTTTTATAATTTCTTTTGAGCTTTAGTACTTGATCTAGGTATGTATTTTCACCAACTAACAAGGAATCTCAGCTCATGTTAGTCAGATAATGGGTTGAGCATTGCTATTGCTTAGTCTCCTTTCGTACTAAGCCTTCTTTCAAACTCTTTTTCTATCAAGCACGTCTTTTCCCCACGCTTATATTATAGGCCCATTCACACTTAGCAATTTTCGTCAATTTTTGCGTTTCCGAATGAATCTCCGTATGAAATGTGAAAGTCATGTAAAACAAACATGGCAATATCGGAGTGAGGTCCCGGGAATCACACGAACAACTCTCATACATATTACGTTATTTTTAAAGAAATATGATATGAATTCTACATTATATACAAATGTTCTAAAAATATCAGCTATAATGTTTTACAGTCACTCATCCTGCCTAATTTATTGATAGCACAAGATCAACACGAAATTAGTCAGAGGGAACTCGGTCGTAAACCGTCTTGGTCTGGGAGGCGTTTTTGAGACGATTCTCTAGCAGAAAGCCTCAATTCAGACGGAACCCTAGAGAATTGACGGAAAAAAAGTGCTAGTGTATAGGCCTTTAGAGTCCTCTGCAGTTTACCCTCTTGAACACATTCTGATGCCAAGCTATGAATGTTATTATGTCTCGTCCCTCTTCTCATTTTCGTTCAATCTAAATGCTTTTACTGCTGTTCCATTTTCGCGTAGAAATTCTGAGGAGGAGTCCCGTAATATGTCCGCGTGTCCTGGCCCGCGCGCTGAATTTCAAATAAGCCCTCGTTTTCCGTTGAGAGGCCTTTTTTCGTAGTGCTAAAGAAGCTTGCAACAGTTGCTTATTTATTTTATATTTTTTCCAAAAGACAGCGGGCTCGTCGTGTGCAAGTGGTCCCTGGAATAGGACTCTTACTCTCAAAATCCTGATGGTTGCTCTTCCAACAAGGATTCTCGCTTTGTTAGAAAAACATTACATTTAATAATGAATGAATGGGTCGATACACGTGAAGTTTTTAGTGGTCTTCTTTCTAAAGTAACACACAATTTGAGTGTGTATGTGTGTGCATATATATATATATATATTATATATATATATATATATATATATATATATATATATATATAATATATATACAAACAAACGCGCACACCACACCTCACGCACACACAACATATACATACACAACACACACACACAACACACACACACACACACACACACACACACACACACACACACACACACCACACACCACACACACACACATATATATATATATATAATATATATATATATATATATATATATATATATATATATATATATATATATTTCTATTTAACGTATTTTGCACCGACGATTGACTGCTATCCTGAAAACTAGAACACTAATCGTCATTATGATTACTAAAACATCGAGTATGTCCATAACACACGCTATCTATTGTTGAAAAAAACAATAATAATGAAAACAACTTCTACAACATCACGCACATTTACGACAACATCCTAACAACAAGAAGAACAACATATTGATCGACAAGGTTACTCGGAAAGAACTTACCTGGATTTCGTAATGACATTGGAAGGTCACCTGCGCGAACACAAATCAGCGAAAGGGTTAAAGTTTGCGATGACAAAAGTGCGAAATCATAATAATGCCTTTCTGGCTTTGCAAAGAGCGATTTTCATGATTGCAACAGACAGTTTTATAGTTTCTTTGTTGAAAA